TTACAACTTTATATTATCACAAAATAATGTTAAATCTCTGTTTGCTAATGGCACCAGTAACCAATGATTTACAACCACAACAAGATGAATATTCAATGTTTATATACTTTATAATTAATGCTTTCATATACATTATACGATAAAGATTGATTTGGATCAATATCACTCTCTCTGAACCTCATTGCAAATTGCAGAAAAAAAAATTGTCAGACACAGGTTTAAGGAAAAAGCCTGCAATGACGAGCAAAATGCTATGCATTGGACGATAATTCCAATGATTTTGTGCATGCTTTGTGGTATCCTCGTACCAGCCTCAACTGGTTGGGTGTCCTTGATGTGACAAAGTATTAAAATCCTGAGTGTGATATACTGTAAAACATGTTGAAAAAGCGGCATGCAATTTTAGCGAATTGTGGTAAAATGACATAATAGCGAAATGTTGATTTAGCGAATCTCTCTTGTCATTGTTGATTTCTTTGTTTGGCAGCCATTTTTAATTGATATAAAGTCATTTGCAACATCTTGAATTAGCGAATCAGTTCTCTCGCTAAATTCACGAAAAAGACATGCTCGCAAAAAAGACATGTTTTACAGTAGGTTCCCTACAGCGTATATACATTGTTCATTTTAAACATAATTTAAACAAGTACTATGCGAAGACCATTGCTCATATTTATATGCCACTGAGTAAAATAACCTCTATTAATTAATGCACTATCAGAGCACTGTGGGACACTCATATCATGCACAATTGTTTTTTCTCGTCCATGCACAGACCGTACCTTTTTATCATTTGTCGATAAAATGAGTCTTTAATACAATTATATTCAATAGAAAATAAAATAATTAATTTTTATGATATTTTAGGTTCAACGTACTCAAAACAAAAGAAACCAAGTTTAAGGTAACATTATTATTATTTTGAGTACCGATATATCTTTAAGATATTGCATTTCAAGTTGTATATTGTAAATTCACCGCATGAAGACCCACTTATTGATACATTGATTATAATTTACAATACTTCTAATTTGATAGACAGTATTAACAATTATGCTAGTCTTGGAATAATCATGTTTTGTAGCAGTGAATATTTAACAGGGATCATTGGACAGGAAGTCACTGGTTTTCACAAAATTTTGTTTGTCTGATCATCAAGTTGCAAAAAGGTTTAAGCGTATAACAACTATTTACACTACCTGTATTTACTCTGTTAGATGCGTGTCTCCAATATATACACCAACAATTATTTTATTGTACTGTAAAGTACTTCTTTTTGACTTCCATGTGCGAAGCACATAATGGGAGTCTTTGTAGTTAGTGTGTCTTTGTGTGTGTGTGTGTGTATGTATGGGTGTGTATGTATGTGTGTCCGACTGTTCCACTGCTATCTCAAGAACGATACATCGGCTTTTGATGAAACTTGGTGCATCAATGCTCTGGGCCAATGCGCAGATTTGATTAGGTTTTGGTAAAAATCCATGCATATTAATTACCTAATTTGCATGATAATTAGCTGATTTTTAGCTGTTCCATGACTGTTCCACTGATATCTAAACAACCACTCATTGGATTTTGATGAAACTTTGTACATACATGCTCTGAACTAATGCTAGGTTTTGATTAGTTTTTGGTAATAATACGTGGATACTAATTACCTAATTTGCATAATGATTAGTCAATTTTCGATTTTTCCACTGATATCTCAAGTACTAATCATCACATTTCAATGAAACTTGGTACATAGATGTCATATGACACTGCACAGACCTGATAGTTTTTATGGTAATGAAACATGAAAATAAAGTTGTGTACGCCTGCACAGAAAAGAATCATGTGGTATTCTGGGTGAAAATGATGTTCTACTATATGCTAATTTTATGTTAATGTTGACAGTGTGGGGATTACCGGTAAGTTAATTTTACGAACGCGAAACATTAATTGTGACAATAGAACTCGGAACGTTTCCTAATCGAGTGTGGAGGGTCTGAAGCACTGTTTTATGAACATACTATAATATATACTTTGATTCCATTTGCAGGAGAAAAGATGAGGAGGATGCTGATGCGGTTGGTGATTATCGCAGTATCCAGGCAACAGCACAGTTCAGACACCATGTTGCTAAGAGACTGGATGACGATGCTGGATAGGTAAGGATAGATTAGACACCAGATGTAAACCTAAATTGTCAGCAAACATTTTTGACATGTTAATTATTCACAGAAAGGGACTTTCCTTTGTTAGTTTTTCATGGCAATACTATATATAACATTTAAATCAAGATGAGTTCAAAAGAAAAAAGATTGGTTTCTGATCAGCATGTGATAATGAAAAGAAAAAAAATTGTCTGTACCCATTTTTAAATGAAATACTAATCTTTTTTCTGGTCTAAACTATTTTACATGTCATGAAAATGCAAATTGTGTAGATCGTCAATAAAATGCAGCTTATAGCTTAATGTATTAATAATGAAACGATATATTCTGATGAAACATCAATCATAATGTCTATGGCTAAAATTATCACAACATATGGACAAAATATGCGATATGTTAAAATAAATTAAATACCACTCAAAATAATGTATCCCATGTGTGTTTATAAAAAATTCTTTTCAAAAAAAAAATTATTGTTGTACGTAGTGAAAAAAACCAAACGCCATGTTTAAGTGGTGAATTGGACATGCTCACAAAATGCATTCATATGTGTTGTATTCTTCTTATATGGCATAACAAATATGACACAGCTGCAGTCAACTTTTTGTTTTTACTAAATGTTACCGGTACTTTCCTTCAGCTCTTTAGCAGATGTTTCCAAATCTGTGCAACCATCGAAAATCTATGATGATACTGATGATGGAGGTAAGAAGATATTACCATAGTAACAGTGTGTTGTTCTCAAGTATTCATTTTACTGTACTGGACTGCGTTAGTGCCCACGCCCACCCCCACTTTGGCGCAATTTTTATATTCGGGGTCACATTTGGCAAAGCGCCCACCCCTTCAAAATGCTACTAATTTAAATCTTGGTCTTTGATCATTGCCTAACGAATACTGGAAATCATTTTTATATGATACAGCGTGGATATCGGCCGCCAAGAATATGTGGTGAATGCGTAGACCAGAGTAACAGTGCATAAACTATGCTTTGACAGTGACCTGTTAATAAAAGTAAAATGCGGTAAATATTTCATGCCATACCGGTATTCAGTTACCTATCAAAAATTGATGGTTACCATTCTTTTTTTAAAAAAACCAAGTCGTTTATACGCCGAAATCAATTCCAAAAGATCATACTTCGACAGCAACAATTCACTTCCGTATTGCGTTATCGGAAAGTCTGCGAGAATTTCAGAAGAATTGCGAGGGTACAACACAGCATTCTGATTGGTTAAAAACAGAATTGACCCATTGTATGAGCTTGTGCTACATTTAGATGTGAACACAATCATTAAAACATGCAAGGTAAGAGAAAAAATCTAAATTAGATGAATCAAACAATGATACCAATGATAAGAGATTTTACAACCTAACAGACATATATTCTGTCTCAATATGAATAATACCCTCATCCAAACAGATATTTGGTCCCACATATGTGCTATGAATGAATTAAACAATGCATACAAGGAAAATATTTCGTTCTGTCCAGCGACCTGGAAATTTTGTCCCTTAAAATCATCATAGACAAATTAGGCACCATTGTTGTTGTAAGATAATTACATCAGTCATTAAGTGGACTGCCTTCCCTCTACCGTTTCAATCCTAAAACTTGTTTGTACTCGAAATTAATTATGACAGGGAATATTCATCTAAAACAAACTATGATAAATGAAATACTGTAAAAAACTTTTTTTTGCTTAGAATTAATTTTCCCTGAAGGAATGATTCAGTGAAAATAACGAATATACGAGTAAATTCAGCGAATATACCTTTTTTTCTTAATATTTTATATTCAACTCATCAAAAATCAGTGAAAATAAATTCCATACAAAACTCCCAAAAAGTCTTTTCAGCGAAAAGTAATTCCAGCTAAAATAAAGTATTTTACAGCAATATTATGTAACAAAGTCACTAGAGTTTAACTTTGTTTATATATTGGTGATTTTTAGATTTCCCATTGGCAACTTCTTTTTTTCTTTTAAATATGGAAAAAATTATCAGGTATACAGCTTCATTTTTGAAAGGTGATGAAAGTTCACTTTGGTGTACAAAACGTTAAATCCAAAAGAAAATTCTAGTTCTGCTGTTGCACCTGTATTACAGGATTCAAGTTGTTCTCCACATCTACTGATGGGGATCCTGTAGAAGACACATCATATCTCACTAAAATAAACACGAAGAGGAAAGCAGTGCCGCAAACTAACAGTACTGATAGGTCAGTATCGTATTATTTCATTCCAGGCATTTGGGAAATTTTCTTTTATAAACATATCATTTTAGTATCAGGATTCAAGAGTAAGCTTTAAATTTCAAAATTACGTATAATCATATTTTATCCATAGTGGAGAATGAATCCTGTAATGATAAAGAGGAAGATAGGGAGTTAGATTCCTTTAAGTTACTTGGATTACTTGATTTGTGGTGCATGGATGACATATTTCAATCTTTATCTGAAAAAATGAAACTATGGACTGCTGATATAACAGTGATCATACTGTTGCGAGTTTTGTTTATACAATTGTGGTCTATTTTTGTCTCTGCTGCTTGCCGTAATATTTGCTGCGATTCAGACTGGCATTTGGAATCTAGATTATAATGCAGAAAATAAAATCAGAATCAGAATGTCGAGAAACTCTAATCCTCCTGATCTTTCTGGTACATGTATTTGGTTTTGTGTCATCTCTATGCCATATCGCTTGAGAGGTACATACTTATCTTTATATAACTCTTATCTGGTCAAGGCAGTGTAAAAGTACACGGGCCTGGCATGATAAGGGTTAATAAGCACATGATGGGTCTGGGCTGGGCAGTAACAGTGAATTACTGTATAGCCACTATGTGATAGTAGGATATGGTAATTTGCTACATTAATCTGAAAATGTTATTATTATATTAGTTGTATTCAGACTAACAAAATGTGTGCAAACGGTAGGCTCAAATTAAGTGTCCTCTCGATCAGTTCAATTGCTTTGATATTATATATATAGGTACTACATGTGGACCTTTCTCAGATTTGTTCATTTCATGATGATATCTTCAATTCTCTAATTTTAGGGAATATTTTTGTAATTTTTGGTAAAAAGTGATATTTTCGACTTCTTGTTAAAAACTGCAAGTCCAATTGCTTTGATATTAGATATATGGGTACTACATGTTGACCTCTCTCAGATTTGTTCATTTTTTAATTCTCTAATTTTGGTGAATATTTTTGTAATTTTCGAATTACTTTGATACTATACATATTGTTCCTAATGATATCTTCAGTTCTTTATTTTATATGTGCATTGCTAACAGCCGAGCTATCTCAGCTGAAAGGCTGCTTGTTATTATGTAACTTTGACTTAGTGCGTTTGCTTTGTTATTGTCCAGGATAATAATAATAATATGAAGTTATTACGAGAATACCTCAAAGTATGCACGAAGAGTATCTGGAGTATCGACCGACGCACAGCGGTGTACTGTCTGAGTGCATATATTGAGGTATTCTCGTAATAACCTTATTATTATACATCTTTTCCTTCCAAGGATATACCATGGGAATGTTGAAATCCAAAATGTTTAGAACAGAATCAGCGAACTTCTTTGTGTGGAGCGGACTCCGGTTAAACTCTGGTGGCAGTCATGTTTTATTATTAGAGGAGGCTTACGCACGTAATCATTCCATATTTGGAATTTGTATTTCCTAATATGGTAGGATGAAAATACCCTGTAAAATACCGCAAAATTACAGCACGCTAAATCACAATAGAAAAAAAAATTGTAAAGCAGCTGGTTGTCTGTCTTTTAGTCCGTACTAAATGTAGGTCCCTCTTGTGCCCAACTGAACAACTTGAAGCCAATATGCAAACATATGAAATTATCTTTGATTTTATTAAATTATTTATGTTATTCTCTTAAAATGTTAGTAATTAGTAAGAAAAACAATTTGGTAGCAGTAAAAAAATGTTTTATCCTTGGCGAACGTTATGTAATCCGCCATTACATTTAATGTCTCTTTTGTATTTGTGAAGTTCCGAAGATGAAGATGAGAAACTTATCGAAGCAGCTGTGTCATTGGATAAGATAGTACAGATGGGCAAGACTGAAAGACTATATGACAAAACTCGGAAGGCAAAAGGACCTGTGATAAATGAGAAAGGTGAAATTGTGACTGAGGAAAGTGGAATTACACCACTGAAGAAGAAGAAGAAGAAGAAGAAGAAACCAAAACACAAGAATGAAAACATTTCTGAGATAACGAACAAAGTTGAACAGGATGAAGCAAAACAGAAACAAAAAGACAATAAGTATCAAGAAAATGAGAATCAACCGCATTTTACAAAAATAAAGAGAAAAAAACGTAGCAGTCGTGTTTGAAATAAAACTTGCTGTAAACTTAATTGGCTGAGTACTTATATTATTGGATGTATAAGGCTTGCCCTGGACCCATAGTCTTTTGAAATGCCCTGAGAACTAATAATGGCTTTCCTGAACTATGCTATAAAAATCTTTTTAAATTTGTATAAGGCCACACCGACTTAATTTTATGGATGACATCCGCGCGTGCATTAGTTTTCGCTCACAAATCTCCACATATAGGTTTTCTGTCGGAACTTGCCGACTCATATTGTCGCAAAGTGCCGACTTGTCGTAAAACTGGACTACCTCCAAACGTGCCAATTTTGTCGTAAATGATCTTCTGCACTTGCGTATTGCGTTGCCGGGAATTCCAACATGGCGACTACGCCACCAAAATACGCAAGCATAAAAGTTCAGAGAAAAAACGGAGGGATTGTTGTTGACTGGTACGCAATTGACGTCGGTCAGGAAGAGTCCTGTGGATTCAGCAGAATTTTTTTTTTGGCAAGATTTCTTATTTTGTCGCCCTCTTGCATTAGTTTTGGGATCTCCAGAGGATGTGTCATCGATAAAATTAAATCAGTGTAGCCTAAATTGGGATCGTGATAATTAGCTCTTCTTCATTTTGATTTGAGCGAGTGGATCGATCACTCGTCTTATAAAGCAAGGTATGCGCAAGTATGGAAGATATTTTTGTGTTTATTTTGGGTCACTGTCACCTCAACACAAGTAGAAAGTCGGTGCACTCCAATCTGATATACATCATTGAGACAAGTCCCAAAGCAGTTCTTATATGATGAGAAATTCACCTTATCAATACAAATCTGGATTAAACTCATTTTCAGGAATTTTCAGCTATATGCATGTATTCCATGTTATTATTTTCCACTTTCTAGTGCCATTTGGACCATTCCCCTTGCGTTCAGCGAATGTTTTGTGATTTAAATCTTGGAGAATTTACACAATAAAAATGTTTTTTTTCAGCTGAGGAGTTGGTGTAGCAGCCAGTGGGCTATTATCATGCTTTTCTCAAGTGTTCTCTCTCTGCTTCGTTAGACAACATATTCTGGATTACTGTAATGTTCATTACAGTAATTTTTGTTAATTATTTGATAGTTGTAGTAGTCTTGAAGATATATATATTTGTAACTAGGGAATTAATTAGTTTATTACAGAGGGCAGTATAGAAAAGTGGTGAAGATTTGCCTATAGAGGGCAGCAGACTTCCCTGTCATAGCTGTGGACAGTAAAAGTCTTGTCGTAATGTTTAAGCAAATTTTTCTGAAAAAACAGATTTCGCAGATCGAAAAATTATTTAAATTTGCTGAATTATATGGAATGCTGTTTTTTTTGCCAGAAAAAACACATATAAAGCACAGCTGATGTAATCAAAGGATGC